CAAATTAATTTATGGGCAGTAATAATTGGACAATATTTAATAGGACCCGTTGAGTTACCACCTAGACTAAATGGACAAAGGTATTTACAATTTCTTGAAAAACAATTACCCACTCAGCTGGAAGATCTTCCATTACAAACACGCCTGAATATGTGGTTTATGTACGACGGCACTCCACCTCATTTTAGTATATTAGAAAGCACCTAAATAGAGTTTATCCAGACCAGTGGACATGTATCGTGGCGGGCTAGATGACCAGATTTAAATCCTATGGATTTATTCTTCTGGGGTGATTTAAAACGACGCGTTTTCAATATGCCAGTGGAAACTGTAGATGATCTTTGACAATTTTTCACCTTAGCCAGAAAATGAAAAATAACATCCAAATGCTTTGGAGAGTGCAGCAAGGATTAGTTCGTTGAGCTCGAGAGTTTTAGGCAAGGTGGTGCTCATTTTGAACATTTTTTGTAGTTATTACTTCCGTTTATTAGTTTTGTTGCCATCCGCATTTGTTATTGTTAAAAACCATAGCAACGCTACTCAGATATTATCCAAAGCTATTTGATTTTATGTTATAAGAATGTTTTATCATCATGGTACAAATAATGCATTGGGGCGTTTGAAAACAAAAATCTCGAAAACTATTAGCTTTAGACACTTCTAACATGTAAACTGAATGTAGAAACTTGAAATTTTGCAAGAGAGATCCTTCATGAAGCGAAGTTAGCTCTAAGCAGAGATTTTTATAGTTTCTTACTTGAACGGGTGAAATACGGAGGTTGCTGGTTCTTATGAAACTCTTGGATTTGCTTGAAATTGAAATACAAATATTCTACAATACTTATAAGAAATTATTTGGTCAGACAGACGAAAGCATCATGTTGAGTTCATTCAATGGAAAGTAGACCACATCTACTATACAGCCCTCTAACGGACACGACGTTTGATTCTGGTGATAGATGGTGTTATTTCGATAGAAATCAGCTCCTGGATAGGGGATAGTTGCGATGCCCAACTTAAAAATAAAACATAAAAATATTATATTAGGTATCTCATTATTTATATCAAATAGTATTTAGTATTTAGGTTTCAAATTAATCTAGGTAAAGAAATATTTTCAAAAACCCCTTGGCGCTTAAAAAATCTCAATACTGTAATAATTTTGGCAAAAACTATAGATATTGTCTGTTAGTAGTATTTTGAGGTACTGCTGTATTTTATATTGCGAAGATCAGTAAAAGGTAAGCTCAAAATGATACGCCCATTTCAAGTGTGTTGTCACACTGGCAGTTACAATCATAGATTAGGAGATTGCATATCGAGTATTAAGCATCCCACAAACCGGCGCGAAATAATCGCGGCGAAGTATTCGCAACGAAATTCAGAGCGAAATTCGCAATCTGTTTCGCCTGTTTATTCATACCAAAGCGTCTTATTCGCTCCGCGAACGTGAAGGTTTCGAAAGGTTGCGTACATTTTATTTTTGCCTTTTGCAATGAGCTCGTCTTTAGAAGAAGAGAAGGCACTTCTATTTCTTGCTTTAGAAGAGGAACAAAATGCACGGTAAGTTATGTTTATTTAACGCCATTTGATAGTTGGGTATGTATTAAGTTTAACGAAGTACATAAAACAAATATTTTCAATTTTGTTTAGGAAATGAAGGAAGTGGGTACATGATATTAACTTGGAACGAAATAAATTTGGGGAATACCATACCTTGATGCCACAACTTCGGCTGGATGAACAGCGCTTTTACGTATATTTTGGAATGACTCCAGAGTGTTTCGATGAAATATTGAACTTGGTGAAAGATGAAATACGAAAATCTGACACAAATTATCGTGAAGCTATTTCGCCAGAAGAACGACTTGCTATTACACTCAGGTAAAAAAATTATATGTGTTAAAATTAGTAGGCTTATCGAATACGAAAACTTGAGGGATCGTGAAATAAATATTTTATTGTAATAATTGGACTACATGTTTCCACTAGGATTAAATGTTGCTAAATAATTCGAGGCAGAATTTGCCTCCTCTGTTGGGTATATTATTGGAATAAACCCAGTGCCGGTTGGGAAGGACGACATACTACTATCATACATACTTGCAGAATTCTGGGTAGACGTTGAAGACATTTCTTCAATATGTTCAAATTCTTCGTGCGCTATTAATTCGGCTATTTTTAGTTTTATTCGGGCTTGACGCTTTGAGGGAAGTGTTTTCTCAGTCTGTGCATGTGCCAAGAAAAGTGAATCAGTGGCCTCGTTCTCTTTTTTAGGTGTTTTACCTTCAAAATAATTAATGAGCTGTTGTACAGACGAAGATGGTGGTTCATAGCGTTTTCTGCTCATTTTATATTTTGGTGTAGTTGCACTCTGCGGAAAGGTGTGCCCTGGAGTAGTCACTGCTGTAGTGTTCAATGAAGAAGGTGGTGCTGTCTGTGTTGCCGAGGCGTTCTGTGCATCTTCTGCATCTACATCAGCATTTTCATCTTCTCCATGGCCGCGGTCTTCCAAATTTTTGGTTTCTACATTTCCAGCCCTTTCCTGATATACGATATACGTATATTTGAGTTAAATTCGGCAGTCTCATAATGTATGACGTCAATATCTTTCACATTAGACGACGTTTTGGCAAATGCCAAAAAAGGACGGAAAAATTCCATGTAGTCAGCCCACTGCCACTTTTTTATGTTGCCCACTGCTTGGCCGGTCTTTGGTTTGGTAGATTTTATATATTTTGCAAATGTGTCTCTGATATTCTTCCACCCTTTTTTTACTTCATCACCTAAAAACGATTTTTTTTTATAGATTCCTTGCCACTGGTGACACCTTCTATACCATTGGGCATAGCTTTCGAGTTGGCTTTACAACAGTGAGTGCAATCGTAACCGAAGTCTGTGAAGCGATATGCAGACATATGGAGCATATATATTTACCAGAACCAACAGAGAATATATGGAAAAAATGTGCTGAAGAATTTGAAAATAGATGGGGATTTCCCAATTGCATTGGCAGCGTGCACGGTAAACATGTAACAATCAAGAGACCTAACAACAGTGGCTCCAATTACTGGTGCTATTTACATAAATATTCAATAGTACTTATGGCCATTGTTGGCCCGGACTATAAATTTTTATGTGTTGATATTGGTGGTTTCGGAGAAAATAGTGATGGGGGTATTTTCGAAACCTCAAACATGGGAAAACGATTTGAACAAAATTTAATGAGTGTCCCTGCACCTAGATTTCTCCCTGGGCAAAATGAAATCTGCTCGTACGTCTTAATTGGTGATGAAGCATTTGCTTTAAAACCATACCTTAGAGACCATTTCCTTATAAGCAGACTTTAACAGACGTCAGAAAAGAGAAATACAATGTAAGACTTTGTCGAGCTAGAAGGGTCGTGGAAAATGCGTTTGGTATTTTGTCTCAAAAATGGCGAATATTTTACAGGCCATTAGAAACTAAAGTAGATACTACTATTCTAATTGTACGTACGGCATGTGTTTTACACTTTTTTACGAAGTAAAAGTGGCGATGGTAGATCCCCCAGAACCCGTGCTTGGAGCTTTTACTGATATAGCAAATGATCCTCGGCGGGCAGCAAGGCTAGCATTTTCTACTCGTGACAAATTCGTAAATTATTTTAATTCTGATATGCCTATGCCCAATATATAGAATAATCGTTTTTACATTTGTGTAGACTGTAAATTATTTAACAAGTTAATAAAAAATATTAGGTACATACCATTTGTATTTAATTCTTTTCCTTTTTCGATCCAAATCTTGTCTTTCTTTCTCACATTCCTGTATTCATCGTTCGACAAATCATACAAACAAGGATACTTTTTCACTATTTCTATCAATAATTCCGTTTTTGCCATTGCGAATTTTTGACGAACGGCGTCAAAAACGCGGTCAAAGGCGAACTGAAATACGCCGCAATAAAAACGCTGAAACAATCGCATTCGCTTCGCACAAGTCTGAGCCTGTCCGTAAACCGCCGCGTTTTAATCTGATCGCGAATTCATCGCCGCGAAATTTTCGCAGCCAAAGCGAATATTTCGCGCCGGTTTGTGGGATGCTTTATATGTGTGTGAAGAAGACGGATGTATAAAAGTGATGCCATTAATTTTAGTGTGTTACTCGCCAGAAACCGTGAAATGAATTATACCAAGTTGATCATAATTTGGAAATTACTGCTGCTTTGTCACTATATTTAGTTATCCAATAAAAGGGCTTAAGTGATTTAATTAAGCTTGTACTTTGATAGACTAGTAGAACTGAGTGAATCGGTATTACCTCACTACTGTCTAGGTAAAAGCCCAATGTTGATGTTTATGCCCTTCCGCAACGCCGATGACTGTAATAACATATTAGCACATCGATAAAAATGTTAGCTTTTATTCATGCTTTTGCATTCCACAGAAACCATCACAATTTTCGGCAAATGACAGTATACGGAAATCCATGCAGCATTTATGTGTTCGCAGAAAAAATCGTATTCATTGCGAAATTTCAACAACTGCCGACTTAAGCCTGATCGACATGTTGTATGAACTTGCATCCTGACTTCTGACTACTTAATTTTGGTTCACGACTCCATTATTTTTTTAGTATAAGATTTTTAAAATTCACACCTCTGAGAAAAATTACTTGCACTTCAAAAATTGTTTGAGAAATTGTTTGGGTGCGGATACGTGTAATCATACAAACTTTTTTTTTTTCGATGTGTAAACGCCACTGAGACAATTTTTTGTGGGCGATCAGGATTACCATTCCGAAAACCGTATTACTTTCGTTTCTCATTTAATGATATGAAAAACCTAGGAACATATTATATACAGCTTAGTTCCTTGTTTTCAAAAATAATTGACCTCCAGGGCGCCTTCTGGCTTACCCATGTTATCATCATCAATGGAAGGATCTCGGGGTAAGAAGGATCGAGATATCGAGGTACGCTGTTCACATTGAAGTTGGCTCTAAAAACTATTACTTACCAACACATACTAAACGGACTGATGATGTTTTTGTGAGTGATGATGTGTCTTATTTCTTCTCGTCTACATAACGCTGCGGATTTGTAATGGGATGCTGTTAAAGGATGTTTCCGGCTCAACATTATGAATCTATGCCATTTCCGGCGCCACTCTATGAAAACACCAGAATCGACAACCTAAAAATACGTATTTAGTGCTCTACGGGGCTTTAGTGCCCGTCACCTATGGAAAAAATGACGTTAAGTAGCTTGACATTCCCCATGCAACACTATCATCAGTCAATAAGGGATTATGTTCGGCACAAGTTGCCCAACTAAGAAAAAAGATGGCTACCAACATACTTGAAATGATAAATGGATCAAGTCATTCAAACAGGGATACAACTAGAATTTGCATATGTAGCATTATTTTATGTAGAATTTTGGGGATTTATAGGAGAGAATATTTGCCACCCCCGCTCTTGAAAAAGGCAGGTATATTTTGATCAAACGTTGCCTTGTCGATTAATGAACTCTCCTTATCCCCTGAGAAAAATACCTGCGGGCGCACATGAACGTTGCTATGACTAACCTTACGTGGTCGACGAACTACGGCAGTACGGCAGCCACTACAGACTGTGACCCAACGGCCGAACTACGATGCACGTATTGTCGTATTGTATTCCGAGATGCCTTTGCTGAAAATATTTCTCTATCATTTCACCAAGTTTTAAAGACAAATAAAAAGTGCGTAGAATTACCGGGATTAGATACCTTTAGTTCATAAATGCACCATTGCCCTACGAAGCTTAGCCCGACTCAAAGAAGTAAGAATAAATATATTGACATCAAAACATTGAGATACACCTGGGAGAGAATATTACGTATTCAAATGGCTCAAGAAGTGATAAGATACAGAACAAAACGAGATGATATTACGTGAGAGGTCAGTCTTTTTACCTGTTTTAATACATCATACGTATCCTGCCGTAGAGTGCAGTCATGTTCCGGTAGCTTATTCATTTTTATTCACAATATCTCAGCAGTTATGCCAACTATTTGCAAATTATCTAAAAACTATTTTCAGTGCTACTAAAAAATGTCGTCACAAGTTACAGAAAATAAACTACTGTTGAGGGCGTTGTCAAGACTACCACTGCCAGCAAACTTTCGTAACAATTTCGAATCGCAAAAGCTGAATACACGTTATACAGGGTGTTGCGAAAATAGGGAAATTAGTGCCAAATGGAATCTTCTAATCTAAGAACAAAAAAAAAAAAACAAAACAACAACAAAACAGTGCAGTTTTAATAGCAGAAATCAATTTTTGTTGAGAACGATTTTTCAGTGATACCTAATGCAGAGGAGGAATCCACAGTTTTTTGTTGAAAGACATGTTCATCACACTGTTGGAGTTCTTATCCTCATGTTTTCGCTTGTGTAACGGAACAATACATATATCCATGGGCCGCCGCACCGCCGTTTCGTATCTTGAAAAGTGACTTAAGTTCGTTTTTTTGACATAACGTATTTTTTTGACATAACATAGGTTTTGATGATAAATCCACTGGTTCCTTGTTTCAAATACATGTTACAGTTTTTTTTATTGTCGACTAAAAATTAACTGTATCTTGATAAAGTAAATTATTACAACGTTTTTCTTATTTAGAAGAATAATTTTATAGCAGTTTTTAAAAATATCGAATTTTATTTTTATAACAAGACACTTGTCTAATAATATTATGGTAGAAAATCGTACTCTACTCTTGAGGATTTAGCCTTTGTCACAACTTCACTAAACTATCGAGCTGGTAAGTGACCATTTTCTCCAAGCCACGTGTTCATTCTTTCAACATGATTTCTATATCTATCTATTCTATATAGGGGAACTGTCAGCATTTATACTCCGATGCAAATTTAAGTAGGACTTGTGAGGAGCAGTCCCCCATTTCTGTGAAACCTCACTGTTCGAGGTAATTATGATTTTTCCTTTGCTAGACCTGTCTTAATCTCGTACAAATTGAAAGCTCAACCACTTCGTTCAAAAATTAAGCCTAAAACTATCAGTAATTTTATTTAACCATTTAATTATTTAGTAGTAAAAATAGAGAAATGCATTGGATTTCTCATTGGTCACATTTATTTATTGTTCTGTATCATAGTACACTGAGAATAATATAGTGTTATTTTTATATTGCTGTAGCTTCTGATTTTGGTTGTACATTTACTGAAATTTGAGTGAGGTAAAATATTCCTGTTGTTCCAAAGTAACATTTTAATTGCTTCACTTATAAGTTGATTGAGGACATGAAATATTTTACTTCCGGGTCCATATGTTTTTTACACGTATCTGATTATTCTGATTTAGTTTAGGTTGATTTAAAAATTTGGGTATTGCTAGCACAATCACGATTTTCCTAGCACACCGTGATTGAACAACCGCTTTGTTTTAATTTAAAATTTTTGAATTGATGTAACCCAAGACAAAATGGTTCCATGTTAAATTTAAATTTTTAATTCTTGGAAGGAAATTAAAAGGGATTATTAGTCAAATCGTTATTTCGGGTTATTTTTAACAAGCATTTTTTTATTTAGGGTTCTACCTTCGTGTTCTACCTTCGGTTATTGAGTTACATCTGGGACTTCCTGCCCTCGGTTGCCTACCTGTGAAAGCCAAGCCTAGGTGGTGAGTGGTTGTGAGTTTCTATCTCCTTTAGTGCAAGAGACTCAATATTGGTTACTTGTTATTTCTTTTCCTAGTTCTTGGAACTGGGTGGCACCCAAACTACGACCATTTGCATCCAAAATCCTAAGTACAAAGAACCACCCTCATTAAGTACCGACCTAGCACACTTACAATCTTTTACCACATTATATCTTAATATAGACGGGATAACACTTTCGCCCACTGCTATTTTGGTTTTTGGTGCATTTTGGTTTTGGTTAACTTAATATTTTTGGTTGTTGGTTTTCTGGAGTAACTGGAGACTTTGTATTTCACTTGATACGACTCAGACATTTATGTATTTATTTTTTATATACCTTGCTAAATGGCTTATTAGTTTTAAATTTTTGACCTTTGACAAGTGTCATTTGCACTGATCGTATTCCATTTAATGTTATTGCTTAAGATTTGTGAGTATTTGAGCATTTAAAACGTATAGTATGTTTAGCTAGGGTTCTTCATATTATGGGTATTATTCTATTGATTTATTACCTTGATTATCAAAATGTTTAAACTAAGTATTGAGCGTCTAACTAAAGATTAACTTGAATATGAGATTTAGATTAGAGGCGTCTCGGAATCAATTGCGGTTGATGAATTAAGAAAATGACTTAGTTCCTTGATTCTTTTAGAAAAAACTGCTGGTAAGGTGTACGGAACATAGTTATTGAGTTAAAGACTTTACTTTCCTCTTACTCTGGAGCAGGCAAATCTGATCCCAAAATCTAAACTAAATTCGCTCATTCAAATGCTAGAATAGATAGAATTCCAGATAAGTTAGAAATTGAGGATAAAAAAGCTGCAATTTTGCTAGTATTATAAAATTTAATTATAGGATATGACAATATTTGTGAAACTTTTGTAACTCATCTAGATGATCCAAACTTTCAACCCAGCAACTTAATACATCAAGCACCCGAATCGACACCACCACGTAATACTGGTATAATTCAGTTGGATACTACTAATTCATTTAATCATAATGATAAGCCAGTTCGTGTTTGGAAATGGGATTTAAAATTTTTGGAAGTTCTGGACTTAGTTTTATAGCTTTTCTTCAAAAAGTTGAGGAACTTTCTATTTCTAGAGGAGTTAATAGACAAGATTTTTTTAGATGTGCTCATTATCTTTCTGAGGGTGAGGCTTTTAATAACTATCACTTTATTTCAAAAAATGCTAGTGATTGGGATATTTTAGTTTTCTTGATGAAGGAAGAATTTGTTCCTCTTTATTTAAGGCCCGTATCGTCAGTCGTCCCTACAATTGTAGGGCGCCTTCATGGCCTCCTTGATTGTCACAGTTTTCTACTTCTCCGTGTCAGCGCTCTATTTGCATCAAATTGTGCTTGCTTTTGAGTTATATCATGTTAAATCAGCCTGAAATTTCCTACAATTTAAAAAGAAATCATATCTGCACAATAGGAGAACGCTGACGCTGACACGGGACAAGTGTAATCTAGATATTTTTGAAGGAGAGAAAGGAGTACGACAATCAAGGAGGCCATAAACGCGCCCTACAATTCTAGGGACGACTGACGATACGGGCCTAAGACATGAATTATGGCAGCAAATTTATTTAAATATGGAAGATGTCTAAGGTGAGCCCTGCTTTTCAGAGCGGTGATACATCTGACATTACGAACTACCGTCAAATTTTCATTTTGTGTAACTTTGGAAAATTATTCAAATTCAAAATATTTATTTCGTCATGAATAAACATCATAAACAAAGGAAATTCTACATATAGAGCAATGACGAAAAAGGACAGTCTCTCGATTATAAAACCGATACATTGGACCCTTTAATACAAAGAGTCCATGCGAGAAAGCCCTGAACAAACTCCTTAAACAAAATGAAAAAACAATAAAGAGGCAAATAAAAAGGCGGTGAAAGACAAAAAGGCAAAAACGAAGAAAGAACCCCCGGGAGCTGGCAACGGACGCGAAGAACAAATCTATCCAACTTGTCAGCGAGTACGAATGTAAAAACGATATTTTTGCTCACACAAACGCTGCTAAACACCGGTATGAAGTTGGCAGAAAAAATTTAGCGGACAATTTGCCGAAGATACCCGAATGACCAGTGGCGTCGACATCCTCGACCAGACTGTGATTGTGATGGATACAGCTAACAGCTCGCAACAATAAATATATATGCACGAGAATAAGCACCCCTATAGGAAGAATCATTTTCCACCCTAATTAAATAATTCGCAGGAACAAGAGTTAACCCAAAACCTTTCTTCGAATTTTTCAAGGAATTTTTTAGCATATTTTTTTATCTGCCAGCCTTTCAGAAGCGTTCTCACACCATGCCACCCAGCCTATAAATTGTCTCTATAATAGAGTATTTTTTTGAGGTACAAGTAATTGTGGGAAATCATTTCCTTGGGGGTGAAAATGAATTTTTTATCATATGTTTTTATCTGCCAGCCTTTCAGAAGCTATCTCACACGATGCCACCCAGCCTATAAATAGTCCCTATAATAGAGTATTTTTTGAGGTACAACTGATTTTGGGGAATCATTTCCTTGGGGGTGAAAATGAATTTTTTAGCATATTTTTTCATCTGCCAGCCTTTCAGAAGCTTTCTCACACCAAGCCACCCAGCCTATAAATAGTCTCTATAATAGAGTATTTTTTTGAGGTACAACTGATTAAGGGGAATCATTTCCTTGGGGGTGAAAATGAATTTTTTTAGCATATTTTTTATCTGGCAGCCTTTCAGAAGCTTTCTCACGCCATGCCACCTAGCCTATAAATTGTCTCTATAATAGAGTATTTTTTTGAGGTACAACTGATTTTGGGGAATTATTTCCTTGTGGATGAAAATGAATTTTTTAGCATATTTTTTTATCTACCGGCCTTTCAGAAGCTTTCTCACACCATGCCACCCAGCCCTATAAATAGCCTCTATAATAGAGTATTTTTTTGAGGTACAACTGATTTTGGGGAATCATTTCGTTGGGGGTAAAAATGAATTTTTTTAGCATATTTTTTATCTGCTAACCTTTCAGAAGCTTTCTCACACCACGCCTATAAATTGTCTCTATAATAGAGTATTTTTTTGAGGTACAACTGATTTTGGGGAATCATTTCCTTGTCTGTGAAAATGAATTTTTTTAGCATATTTTTTTATCTGCCAGCCTTTCAGAAGCTTTCTCACACCATGCCACCCAGCCTATAAATAGTCTCTATAATAGAGTATTTTTTTGAGGTACAACTGATTTTGGGGAATCATTTCCTTGGGGGTGAAAATGAATTTTTTTAGAATATTTTTTATCTGCCAGCCTTTCAGAAATTTTCTCACACCGTGCCACCCAGCCTATAGATAGTCTCTATAATAGAGTATTTTTTAGAGGTACAAGTGATTGTGGGGAATCATTTCCTTGG